CCCTATCAGATACTACAGCAAGAGCCTCAGACCAGCAGGGCTAAGGAGTGCTTGCACATAATATATTAGCACCACAAGCAGGGACATAACTTTTTCTCTACCTACCTTTTTCGTAACTGGTGTTCGAGATCTGTTGCTCATGTCCATTCACGTTAGGTGTGTGTGCCCACCCTATACGCCGATGCCGGAAGTTTCTCTCTCAATGGTATCCATAGGGGACCAGCGCTGGTGCCCTTTGGAGTGGCATGCATATGCCATGGTATAAGGGGCGCTTGCGGCTCCCCCCACCCTCAGTTCCTTCTTGCCAGAAACTCCAACAGTGGGGAAGGAGGGCACGTCGTGGAATGGACATGAGCAACATCTCGAAGAACACCAGTTTCCAGAAAAAGGTAACTCCTCTTCTTCGGGTGCTTGCTCATGTCCATTCATGTTAGGTGACTCCCAAGCAGTGCCACCGGAGGCGGGTAGTTCATGGACGTGAAGACTGTAACAAAGCTCTGCCGAACCCCGAGTCGTCTCTGGCCTGCTGGGTGATGACGTAGTGCGCTGTGAACGTGTGCACCAAAGACCATGTTGCGTCCCTGCAAATATCCTGAATAGGGACGTGTGCCAGGAAGGCTGCTGAGGACACTTGAGCTCTAGTCGAGTGGGCCCTTCACAATAGGCGATGATTGGACCCGTGCCTGCTCATAACAGGCCCGAGGTAATCCGGTTGAAGATCCTTTGAGAGGACACCAGAAGACCTTCATCCTATCTGCTGCCGTGATGAAGAGTTAGGTTGACCTGCAGAAGGGCTTGGTATATTCCAGATAGAATGCCAAGGCGCGCAAACATCCAGGGCATGCAGCTGCCTCTCCTCTGCAGTCGAGTGCTGTTTGGGACAGAATACCGTGAGAAAAGTGTCCTGGTTGACGTGGAAAGAGGACACTACCTTCAGCAGGAAGGATGGGGTTGGATGGGGTCACTGTATATGGTGGCTCCGAGATCAGGGCTTTCAGTTCTGACACTTGTCTCGCCGATGTAATTGCTACAAGGAAGGTGAGACTTTCCACAACAGTAGGAAAGGGGACAAGAGCCCATAGGCTCAAAGGGTGGGCCTGAGTCTGGCGAGAACCAGATTGAGGTTCCATTGTGGGACTGGGTTCCAATCCGTGGGAAGAGCCTCTCAAGGCCCTTCAGGAACCTGACAAACGTCTCGTGCGAGACCCCTGATTTTCCTTGGACACGTGACTGAAAGGCCAGGATGGGCACTAGATAAACCTTGATGGAAGACAGGGCTAGGCCCTGGTTATTCAGGTGGAGCAGATAGTCTAGATGGACTGCAGGGATGAATGCATCGGGGAGATGCTACGCACCGATGTTCAGTGGGAGAACCTCATCCACTTCGCCAGGTACGTCGCTCTAGGAGGACCTACTGTACCTCAGTAGAGCAGGTCTGTTCCTCTGGGTTCAACCATGTAGCGTCCAAGCCGTGGGAGGGAGGCGAGGTTTGGGTGCAGGAGACTCGTGATCCTACGAAAGGAGGTCTGGGCGACCAGGTAGCAATTAGAGGGCAGCTACTGCCAGGTCCATCAGTGTGCTGAACCAATGTTGGCGTGGCCACGCTGGGACAATCATGATGACTCACGTTCTCTTTTGACCTTTGACAGGACCCTGCTGATCAGAGGAATCGGCGAGAATGCGTACATCAGATCCCCTATGACAAGAGAAAGGCGTCAGAGAGGGTGCCCTTGCTGAGACCCTGCAGGGAGCAGAACTGATGACACTTCCTGTTCCATCTGGTGGCGAACAAGTCCACTCGGGGAGTTCCTCACCTCTGGAAGAGCATCTGGACCATCCCTGGATGGAGTGACCACTCATGGCGAGAGAAAAAGGACTTGCTGAGGTGATCCGCCAGTGTATTCCTCACGCCGGGGAGGTGGGCAGCCTCCAGGTGGACCGAATGATGGATGCAGAAGTCCCACAGATGGAGCACTTCTTGACAGAGCCGACGAGCGTGCTCCCCCTTGCCTGTTGATGTAGAAATTGAGGCTGTGTTCATCAGCACCCGCACCACTCTGCCAGTCAGATGTGGCAGGAAGACTAATCAGACTGCCCTGAGCTCCTTGACATTTATGTGCAACCCCAGCTCCTCTGGGGACCACGTCCCTTGGGTCTGCATCTTGCCAAGGTGCTCCCCGCAGCCCAGGTCGGAGACATCCAAAATCAGAGGCTGAGGGGCAGAGATTGTCGAGCGTTACTTTGTCTAAGACTGACCTCGGGTTGGTCCACTACTGCAGAGAGGCAAGTACCCTTGGTGGAATCGTGATGACCATGTCCAGGTGATCTCTGGACGGGGAAATCAACTGTCCCTAGCCATTGTTGGAGAGGCTGCAGCCTGAGCCTCATGTGGTAGACGACCTAAGTGTACACTGCCATGTGGCCTAGCAGCCAAAGGCAGACCCGGGCTGTGGTGAGAGGGAATGCGGAGAGTCCGGCAAGGAGATCCACCATCTTCTGGAATCTGTCTTGTGGCAGGAAGGCTCTGGCACAGGTGGAGTTGTGCACAGCTCTGATGAACTCTATACTCTGCACCAGAACTAACGTTGATTTTTCCTAGTTTATCAACAGGCCCAAGGTGTGGCAGGCGACTTGAAGTACTGCAACATCACACTGGACTTGGGACCTGGAGTGGCCCTTGACCAGCCAGTCGCCAAGGTATGGATAAATCTGAATACACCTCTACACAGATATAACACAACCTGATAGAACATTAATTCAGATATAACGGGGTAAAGCAGTGCTCCGGGGAGCGGGGGGGGGAGGGGAAGGGTGTTGGGCTGCGCACTCCAGCGGATCAAAGCAAGTTCGATATAACGCAGTTTCACCTAGAACAGTAAGATTTTTTGGCTCCCGAGGACAGCGTTATATCAGGGTAGAGGTGTACCGTGACACCTGAGGTAAGCTGCTACTACTGACATGCACTTGGTAAACACCCTCAGTGCTATTGCCAGCCCAAACTGGAGCACCACAAACTGGTAGCCCACCATGGAACGGAGAAAGCATCTGTGTCCATGAAATCTCTATGTGGAAATATACGTCCTTCAAGTCAAGGGCGGCATACCAGTCTCCCGGGTCCAGGGACAGAATGATGGAGGCCAGGGAGACCATGCGAAACTTCAACTTCTTGAGATATTTGTTTAGTTCTCACAGGTCCAGGATGGGTCTTAGACCCTTTGACGAAGTGGGAATGTTCTTAATGTTTTCTCTGAATACGGTGTGGGTGTTGCAGTTTCCCCTATGCATTTCTTAGGTATCTAGGGGCGGGGGGGGAAAGGAGAAGAAGAAGAAAAATCAGGGTGTGTGATTGTTGCAGAGCCCAAGATGGCCCCTGTGATACTGTCTGCACAGAGAATGGCCAACACTCGGTCTCCTGGCAACTAATGGCCTGGGCCCCTCCTCTACAAAGGTGCCAACTGAAGGTGTTGGAGAACAAAGATGAGGCAACTCCTGGCTGGGAAAAGGGACAAAGGCAGAGGAGGAGCTGGAGAGTTTCAGTTTGGAGCTGGCTGGGAAAACGGAGGGGAGGCCAGACCTCCTGACCTCACAAGATGGACCTGACTGAGGGGGTCAGGTTGTCTGTACCTGCAAGACCTGTCTTGGACTGTGTTCCTGTCATCTAAATAAACCTTTTACTGGCTGGCTGAGAGTCATGGTGAATCGCAGGAAGCCAGGGGTGCAGGGCCTTGTCTCCCCCAACTCCGTGACAGACCCCCTTTGGCCTTTGGAATCAGAAAGTAACGGGAGTAAAACAACTAGACACTGTGGTGTAGAGGGACTTCCTCCACGGCTCCCACCTGCAGAAGGCCCTGCACCTGCTGCCAAAACAGGCTCTTGTGAGGGGTCCCTGAAGAGGGACGGGGAGGGAGGAAGCAGAAAAACTGGAGGATATAATCCTGAGCCACAGTACTGAGGATTCATTGGTCTGCAGGTATAGAGGTCCAGGCAGGGAGGAAAGAGGATAAGTGGCCCAACTAGCTAACATAGTAAGGGAACTATCTAATAACTATTTACAGGAGAAAAGTTCACAACGAACAGTTCTGGACAGGGAGGTTTGCCAAAGCAAAGGACGTACCAGCACATTCACTGTTGGTAAGAAGGAACTGAGGGTGGGGGAAGCCGGCAGTGCCCCTTATACTGTGGCATACACACGCCACTCCAGAGGGTGCCAGAGCTGGTCCTCTACAGATACCACTGAGGAAAAAACTTCTGGCACTGGTGCATGTAGTGGGCACACAAACCTAACACGAATGGACATGAGCAAGCACTTGAAAAAGCTGAGTTACTGCTTCAAACACAGGTGCTATGCAGCCCCCAGTACCAGGAAGTCTAAACAAGTCCAACTTCTCCTTCGTAAGTGTTTTGAGTAGATTTGGAACAGTAGATCAACACATTCACCTCTTCCTTACCAACATCCATCCTCCAACAGAAGAGGAGTGGGGAAGAGATTAACGGCCTAGTAATGAAAACAAGAGCTCAATTTTAGCTTGATAACACATGATTTGGGATGGAGAGGGAGGGAAAGATTTCTTTCAAAAGGGTTTCTCCTACTCAAAGCTTCTCCACAAGGCTCACAGCTGGTTGGATGTACTGTACACGCCTCCCCCCCCCCCCCCCCAGCTAGTTTTCAGTACCAGCACAGGATAGTCCCCAGGATTTTCTAATTATGTTATGAATTACTATGGGATAGAGTTAGAAGTGCTTCTAGATCAGATTTCTAGGGGTGGAGGATTTCTGTGGGTGAAGGAGGCAAGTGTGAAGGCTAACAGCTCCTCCCTCTAATCAGACACATGCACTGATTAGAATTGGTTCATCAGCAACACTGGCCTTTCATGTCAGTTTCTGAGCAGATGCTGGTGAGAGTCCCAACCCCTGAAGCCGCACTGCTTTTACCATGCAGAGGAGCGAGTCCCTGCTTTTGTCGAAGTGACAGATACTGGAGCAGACCATGACCACAAAGGTAATTGAGGGTTTTCATTTATTTCACAAAGAGCAACGTAGTGTTGAGACAAATCAAGTTCGATTAAATTTCCTCCAATCTGAACAGCTACAAAAATAGATTCTACCCAAATCCTTAAAACCAGTTAACAGTACCGTCAAACAAAACCTAACCAGAATGCCTCATTCAAATACCAGTTACAGCAGCCACAGGGATCTAAAATTACAGATATATTATTTCATTTGTTTTGTTTTTTTTTAAAAAAAGTACATTATTAAAATACGGTTCCATTAAAACAAACACCCATACGATTTAAAAAATTGTACAAAAAATAATCTTAAACCACTCAGAGGTAACAGTGTGTTTATTAAAACTCTGCACCCAGGGCAGTAACATTTATAATTTAAAACCCAGCCCAGTAGAAAAGAGATAATTGTGCAAACATTAAAAATAGTTACAAAGACGTACACAGAGGCTTGTGGTGCATCAGAGCAGGCAGTCTGTCTGCTTCTGGCCTCCGTGCAAGGCAGACTCCAGGAGGAGGTGGTGGTTTCTGGTGAGGCACGAGGGGGAGAGGAAGAGGAGAGGCTGACTCGCAGCTTTATCTCCCGCTGTGCAGGGAGAAGTAGAAGCCTCCTCTCCATGGGACGGCTTTCCCAGTCAGTAGTGTTATGGCACTCAATCCAATGCCAGGAAGTCACAGCGGCTTTGCTGAGGTCTGATCATTCCGCTTAGGGAAAGAATATGCAGCACCATATTAGGATCACTCTGGACAGATACTCCCCCTCACCACCAACCCCCTCCCGATTCAAGAACATATTGGATATAAGGTTTGTAGAGCTCATGCCAGTCTGATCTTTAATCTGGGGTTCACATCAATGCTCACAAGATCAACTCACATCCCTATGCAAATCCCAACAACAGGCCTTATGCCCTGGCTGGCAGACACTCCCTTAGAGAAGACAGGCAGCCTGCACATCCACATCAGACAAGTTGGTTTATCCCTCTGGCTATCATACATACCCTGTAAGGGTTTTTCCCCCCCCATGGCCGTGCTGAATGCAGCACAAGCAGCGATGCTGCAGTGTAGGCCTGCCATAGCTTAGCCTTCTCATGGTTTCTTGCAAAGAGATGGAGAGGGTAGTGGCATGCGAAGGAGTTCTACATGCCCCAATGCTCCCAGCTAGAGAGCCTCTCTCTAGCAGCAGGTCTCCCAAAAAGAGCCCACAGCAAATGTCAACAGCTTAAAATGCAAGACAGGGTTTTAGGACTTGTGTCACTCCATCCAGGACTGGGGCAGCACTTGTTTGTTCAGGTGGCACCCAGGCTGCTCAAACACTGACAGATATATCAGGCAGCCACCAGGCTCCCATCCAGTCAGATGAGGTGATCTGTAGAGCAGTGACTCTCAACCTTTCCAGACTACTGTACCCCTTTCAGGAGTCTGATTTGTCATGTGTACCCCAAGTTTCACCTCACTTTATTTGCTTACAAAATCAGACAAATATACAAAAAAGTGTCACAGCACAATGCTATTGAAAAGTGGCTGACTTTCTCATTGCTACCATAGAATTATAAAATAAATCAACTGGAATATAAATCTTGGACTTACATTTCAGTGTATAGTATACAGAGCAGTACAAACAAGTCAGTGTCTGTATGAAGTTTTAGTTTGTACTGACTTTGCAAAGTGCTTTTAATGTACCTGTTATAAACTAGGCCAATATCTAGAGGAGCAGATATACTCCCTGTAAGATCTCTGCATACCCCCGGGTACACATACTCCTGGTTGAGAACCGCTGCTGTAGAGCGCGACACTCTGGAGTGCCATGTAAATGTAAAGCACCAGATTGTTAGGAATGCCGACCCTTTGCTTCTTGCCTCATGTTGCTGCACCAGAGCCTGGAAATACCCTTGGCTTCACTTACCTCCTCCATTACTTAGTCCATGTCCTACGTGAATTCTTCTTGAATTTCTCTCTCCATAGCTCCTGCAATGACAAGGGAGCAAAGTCCATCAGTGCAATGCAATCACCCTATCTGGATAGATACATGCAGGTGTGTCAGGCAGTCACTCATCCTCTCCGCAGATCGTTGGAAACCCTGGGTTTCCTACCCCACCAAGCGCTAAAGTATTTTGCGTCAATTATAATGCCAGTCATTCATCTGCACTTCTGTAGCCCGTCACCTGAACAGCTCAAAGTGTTCTGTGGACAGGAGTTAAAGCCCAGCACCCATGAGGTAACTTATTGCCTATGTGTAGAGATAGGGAATTGGAGCAGAGAGATACATGTCCAAGTTACAGTCAGTGCAGAGCCAGGATTAGATCCCTAGAGTTCCTGTCCCAAGTCCCATCTTCAGCCACCTAAGCCCATGTGGCCTGCCCATAGAGTAATGTGGGTTGATTTGAACCTGTATGCGAGTACTCAGAGTCCTGCTCCTTTGGGATATGGAAATGTGATCGCTTCTGTTTCTCCAAGAGAAAGAGACAAAGATTATTCATAAAAACCTCAAGGGAGTTGTTCTTGCGTAGAACAAGTTTCTCTTTGGACCAGTTTGCGACACACACATATGAGCAGTTGCTAGTGCTTCACTGCAACAATATCTGCCATTGTGCTGGATATTCTCCCTGTTTTCCCACCTTTACCAGATCACCAGGGAGAAAGGAAGGTTGGTCACAGGGTACTCACCTTCTCTCCCCCTCCAGGGTACTTTGGATCTCCTTCAGAACTTCTGGAAAGCAAACAGTTAAAGAGCAGTGAGAAGTGGGAGAAGATGTGCAAGGTCCTCTGCTTGAATCAGTAAACATTTACAGTGAGGTTGTTTTAAGAGCTTGATTGCACATGCTACTTCTACTGCACCTCATTTCAGAATGGCCTTTAAAATCTGTCTTCCTGCCTCCTCCATGACTGTCAGACCTTTAAATATCACTGCCTCTTCTGCAGTACTAGTCTCTGACATAACAAAACTCTGAATAAGGGGCTGGCACACAGAAGTGAGGCAGTGTCTCCAGAATGCTGCCAGCACCAGCATGCTAGCAGTCCAGGAAGATAGCCAGTTCCAGCTGGCCCTTCATTCTTGGGTACTGCTGGAAAGTGAAGTTCCTTATGTATATTAGGGCTAGGCAACAATGGAAGCAGGTAGGCAGCGATGTGGAGCTTTCTTATCTCTTTTCCTTAGGACCCTCCCATCCTCACCAATCCATGAAATAAAGCTGATAAAGATCTTTGGGGAGAGGGACTATCTTCCTGCTGTGCTTGTCCAGCACCTAGCCCAATGGGGTCCTGGGTCCATTACTGGGGCTCCTAGGGGCTACAGTAATGCAAATAAATAATTCTATTCTGGCATTATGTACTTTCTGGAGCTGCAAGAGGTCTATTGTAACCAGGAGGATGAACAGTCCATGCCTCCACCAGAGACAGCTACACGTCACCCCCACCAACCAATGCAGCTGCCCCACCCCCCAGCAGCTCCAATTTTGTGTCACTCACTTTCATCATTGAGTAAGGCATGTTCCATCAACCTCCCAGATTTCCTCTCTGAAAGGCAGAAAACAAGTTGATGTCCAGCAACTTTTCATGGGGGATAAAGGCAATATGCACTTAGAACGCTACAGTGATAGGCACTATGGGAAACACCACAAATACAAAAAAAGAGGTGGAAACTTATTAAGCCCAGCTTGGCTTGTTCTAGAGACAGCATCACAGCAAAGTGCTTGTTAAATGGTAAAAGACTCCACACTCACACCCACAATCCCTTCTTCATAGCACGACTGGGCTTCCCTTTCTAAAACAATCCAAGATCGGCCTGCTGTAGAACCTGACACGTCCAGGTCACCTGAAGGTTCTGAGATGACTACTTCTCATGAAGAGAGAACAATCTCAAATTTATCTTCGTATCTCCCTCTTCCCAACACTACAGCTCCTCACCCCTTTTCTTTGAAGAAAATATGACCACCAATCGCAAAGGCTTAAAAAAATGTTTATACATGTCATTAAGTTAAATAAATACATTTGTTGCATGCTTACCATCATCTTCTCCAGGGTCACCAGAACTCCTGCCTGATTCCCTGGGGAAGAAGGTTTAAAGAAAAGTGTATCAGAGAGGCAAGTAGATTCTTGTACATACCTGGCAGATCAGACAAGGAAAGATTCCTCTGGGTCAGTCAGAGCATGCATGCTAATGCAGAGGGGTGTCCTGAGCAAGCAGCTGAGAGAAGCATTAGGATGGTTGGTGATGAGGAGTTCTAGTCACTAGGGAACTTCCCTAATTTTTCTTAAACACCCCTCCTAGGGGACCTGCATCAAAACGCATCACCTCTAGGGATGATCTGCTTTCACAAGGAAGAACATCAGGGTTTAAACGACAAAGCAACAGTCCAGTCTGCTACATAATAGATTGCAAACAAGTAATATGACAAAGTGCAAATGGGTGGAGAGGTGGGAAGTTGCATGCAATGTCCTCAAAAGATGTCACTCATAGAAAGTTGGTAGTGGGAAATGTAAGACAGCTGGTAGGGAAAGGACCAGGGAGAAAGTTACATTGCCTTATGGCAGAGCCCTGCAGCGGGACTGGAATCCTCCGAGTCCCGCAGGACCTGCTGCCATAATAGCAGAGCAGGATTGAAGAACAGCCCCGCACAGGGCTCTACCTCATGGCAATCAGTTTGGAGTGATGTTAACAGTCTTCAAAGGAAGCCCTGTACAGTCCTTTTTGGAAAGAAAGGGTTCTCTGGCTCCACAAGATAATATATGGAGATATCCTATCTCCTAGACCTGGAAGGGACCCCGAAAGGTCATTGAGTCCAGCCCCCTGCCTTCACTAGCAGGACCAAGTACTGATTTTGCCCCAGATCCCTAAGTGGCTCCCTCAAGGATTGAACTCACAACCCTGGCTTTAGCACGCCAATGCTCAAACCACTGAGCTATCCCTCCCTCATGTATCACAGTGAGCTTGGAGGGGGAGAAGGGCAGACAACAAGAACATTTAGAACTCACAGTAGCATGGTCCTGTCTGGATCAAGCCAGGGAGACTAGATTTAGAAGTAAACCACCCTTCAAACAAGCCATAATGGAAAAGCTAAAGAGAGAGAGGTAAGGTGCTCCAACAGAGTTTTTTAAGCTAGTCCTACCTGGATTTCCTTGTAGCCTTCTCCATGCCAGATCTGTTGTGCAAGTAGTTGTTGCCCGTAATTTCTGGTGTATCCACAACACACCGGGGCTCAACCAACCATTTGGTGGACAGGGAGAACCTCTCGAACTCTGATGGTGAAATCAGATAAAAACCTAGAGGGGAAAACGTAAAGGGCATTTGCTTCATGAGAGAACGCATGCTCAGGAGCCAGAATCCCAGTCTAAAAGGAAAGGAGATCTATATGCACTCTACTCTCCACAGAAAAGGCATCTTGTTTATATTTCCTCCAAACCAGTGCACTGGGGCTTTGGAGAAGCGCATTGCACCTGCCTCGTTAAGGGGTCAAGCCAGCAATTGACCAACTGAGGATTGCTGTGTGGCACGTGTCCCAGACCCTGCAGTTTGAGAGTTCTTTCAGCTACAACCCCCAGGACAAGAGCCTGAGCAGCACCCACTCTTCCCACAGTTACACTATGGGTTTGTTCCCTCCGTTTTAGAGACGTGGAAGGGGAAAGCGAGTGGCCTGGGAGGAGCTCTTCCACAGACGCCAGTTTGAAAAGAGTGTTGTGGAGCAGTAACTCAGGAAGAGCTATCCAGCAGCCCAGGAAGATGCCAAAATACAGACGTCTTATTTTGAGGCCTGACAAGAAATATGGAACACACCGGACACCACCCTCTACTGCGAGGTGAGTTAGCACCTAATGTCTGTTGGATCTGAATGGCTACAAAGAGGATTCAACATGCTCATTATGGAAGCAAAACCAATGCTAAGTTTAAAGAACAGTGAAACAAGGGTTCCAAAAATATGGCAGAGGCGAGTGATCTAGGGGAGCTTACGCTGTTTGTGCCATTACCTTGGCCATATTTGGTGAAGACACAGGAAGCAATGCCACTCACGTCTTCCTTACGGATACAGGGGTAGCGGATCTGCAACTTGAGGAAGGGCAGAGAGATGATCTGAATGTCTCCCAGGTTAGTGAGGATGGCCAGGTCATTTTCACTATAATCATCAGTCTTGCAGCTGCCAAAGTTAGCGACTGTCACCTTTCGTACCCTACAGCCTTCCAGAGCTGTCAGCTTGAGCTTCAGTTTGGAGCTAACCTTGGGCAGCGTGAATACCTGCCAGGAGGGAAAAAAAGCCACATAATACACCTCCACGCTGTACACTGCCAACAACCCCTGCTCAGGAATGGTGCTGCTCCCTCCTGCTTAAACAAAGCCTTGATTCATAGGGAACCTTTGCCCAACAGCATGCACAGAAATGAAGATCTGAATCTGCCTTCCTGCTTAAAATGAGGCCTGGATATCATGGAATACTGAACAGGCATAAGTGTAGCCAGCCGTGGTCTCAACTTCAGGGCCTGTTCCTGCTCTCACTCAAGTCAATGGGATCTTTGCCACTGACTTCACTGGGAGAAAATGTAAGGCTGTAAATCGCAGACCCTCATTACGACCCATCTCCTGTTCTCTCAAACCCTTTCCCCTCCAGCCAGAAAGTATATCCACAGGGAAAAACTGAGATTAACCCAACAGCCCACTCTACCACATTAAAATGACAAGGAGACCCCGATAAATTATTCCTAGAGACTCCTTCCTTAAACTTGCCAATTACTGGTTATGTAGCTATTCTGCAAAAACAGTGAGAACAATTTTTGAACACTTGCCAATTCTCAGTGTCCTTTTTAAAGAGTCATGTCCCCTAAACTCTAATCTGCAGAATCTAAAGCTTCTCCCAATGGCCAATTACTGCAGCTGTCAAAGAGTTTTAAATAAATCTACAAACATTCCTATATTCTCCATCTGGATTATGTTAAACTCGCACTTCCACTTGTCCATTTCACGCACTAGTTCTGCCCTGACACCAAGTCTATGTTCTGTGGGGCAGGGAGTGTCTTCATTTGTCTGTATGGTGTCAAGCACAACGGGGCCTAATCCTACGCTGCAGTTCCTAGGAGCTACTGTAATCCATCCCTAGGAGTACAGATCAATACCTTAAAAAAGGGAATGTATATCAGATGAGATGCAAGTGGACTATATTTACCTTAAACTGCTCTTCAGACACCACAAGAAGTTGATGGCTGCCTTGCATATCAGGACTTTTAGAAAGGTCATGTGCTACTTCTAGCGGCTCTGGGAGGGGATTGCCGTGCCCATCCAAGACAAGTATCCCCACAACAGGAGCCCTGTGCATCAGCTGAATTTCCTTGGCTAGACAGACAAGATGTGGAGAAGGGTGAGAAAAAAAAAAGACAGGTATGATACCAGCTGAGAGGATGTGACAAGCATACAGTGTTGGAACTCACACACGTTCTCTTGAAATGAGACAATGGTGCATTTCTACACCCAATTAGAGTCTTCCATCTAGCAATTTTTTATTATTATTAATTATTATTATTAAAGGAGAGACCTATGTGGCTCTGTGTTTGCTTCCTTTGCTTATGCACCAGCACCTGTATCTGTAGAAAAAGTTAGTTAACTGCGTGCCCTAAAGCCATGATTCTAGAAATGACACTTTACCAAGAGTAGTTTCTAAAGCATTTTGATCAGCCATGTTAAAGCCAGCCTAGGCTAGAACGTGCATCTAATAATTCAACTCCTTTCATGCTGTGAGGTCAAACAGCTTTAGAACCCAGTTTAACTAGAATGGGCATTTAAACTGAATTCAAACATTGTTTCCAAATTCCAACTGACAAGGGTTTAATAAATGCATAAATGGATTAGGCTGTTATTGTAGGTTTCCCCAAAAGCACCCATCAACATGTCGTCTGAGACTACTACTGATACGCACCGTCCAAGCAAGTGTCATTGCAAAAACTGGTATTTGAAGCAGGAATAATTAAAATGATGGTCACCCAATGTACTTTTGCTCTGAAAAAACACCTCCTGGATTAGCGCCACAGGCAAAAGCATACAATGGTGATACAGTCGTTTTCAAAACAGTCACATTTAGGCCTGATCTACACTGGGGCGGGGAAGGAGGGGGGGGGGGGAAAGAGATTGATCTAAGATACGCAACTTCAGCTACGAGAATAGCGTAGCTGAAGTCGACGCATCTTAGATCGACTTAGAATTACTTACTTTGCGTCCTCGCAGCGCGGGATCGATGGCTGCGGCTCCCCCGTCGACTTTACTTCCGCCTCTCACTGAGCTGGAGTTCAGCAGTCGACGGGAGAGCGATCAGGGATCCATTTATTGTGTCTACACTACATGTGATAAATTGATCCCTGATAGATAGATTGCTACCCGCAGATCCGGCGGGTAGTGTAGACGTACCCTTAGTGTATGGAGGTTTATATGGAGATATATACCTCTCTCATAGAACTGGAAGGGACCTTGAAAGGTCATCGAGTCCAGTCCCCTGTCTTCACTAGCAGGACCAATTTTTTGCCCCAGATCCCTAAATGTCCCCCTCAAGGATTGAACTCAGAACCCTGGGTTTAGCGGGCCAATGCTCATACCACTGAGCTATCCCTCCCCCCAAAGAGTCACCTTTTAGTGATAATTTTAGGCAAGGTCCATGGACTCCACTAGCTCATAAATTAGAGCCTTTGCCTCCTAACTAAGTGGACAAGGTCAAATGAGTTTTAAATGAGCAAGACAGCAGATGCCCACTTTTACCGTGTTTGGTAGAACTGGCTCGTTTTAACCTATACACACATACTATTAATGGTGGAATGAAAGGATATAATGGGCCCCCCCAGCAGAATGATAAACTAGAAAGTGGGGGACGGAGGTGAGAAAATGTCTTGTTGGGAGAGTTCAATGGCTGAGTATAGGGGTAGTGCCTTCAGCAGCAGCCTAATTGGAATTAAAACTAAAGAGGTTCAGGGGATAGTAGAATCTATTTACAGTAGAACCTCAGAGTTATGAACACCAGAGTTATGAACTCATCAGTCAACCACACACCTCATTTGGAATCAGAAGTACACAATCAGGCAGAAGAGACCAAAATATAAAAAAAAGCAAATACAGTACAGTACTGTGTTAAATGTAAACTACTAAAATAAAGGGAAAGCAGCATTTCTCTTCTGCATTGTAAAGTTTCAAAGTTGTATTAAGTCAATGTTCAGTTGTAAACTTTTGAATGAACCACCATAATGTTTTGGTCAGCGTTACAAACAACCTCCATTCCCGAAGTGTTCGTAACTCTGAGGCACTACTGTATAAGCAAAAGCTGAACTCCAAGCTACTGTTGTTCAAAACTGCTCTCTCCTCCTGGCCAACCATCATGTTTCCAAGTCATCTTGCTCTTCATTTATAACTAACAGCTTTGCACCTTTCTAGCAGTACATAGCAGCCCCTCTGATCCCATTAGGACCATTTCACATGTTCCCACTACTGAGTGATACTCACCCTGCTCTGCTCTGACAGGCTCATCCATCCTTCTCTCCGCTGGCGGAACACGCAAACAGAATGCATAGACTGTGCCTCCATTGGTGCCTGCCCACAAGGAGGGGCAGTGGCGAGAACCTGGAGCAGGGATAAAGCCCATGAGCAGGAGGTCTCTCCAGGAACTTTTAAACATGATGGAGTGGTTCTACTGTCTGTATGCAAATGTGTATGCTCACGCTAACCCAAGCGCATACGTGATTAGAGGGAAATTCAGATGTAGGATCAGTTTGGTATCTGATGCATCCCCAGCAGGATTAAGGGGAACCACATCCTCTCCTTGTCAGGGGACTGTCTTTTGGCAGTCAGAGGTGAAGAGACTATGAATGGCGTTTAAGACCAAAGAAGCTTCATCCTATTTGAAAGCCACATACTTCAAATTCTCCCCCAAGGTGAACTCATTTAGTCATGGGTCAATTAGCAGCTGGCAGTGATCATACAGAGCAGCTCTGCTCTCACTCATTTACTTTGGCTTTAGACTGAATAGTTTCAGTGCTGCAGGGAGTACAACAAGGGAGGTGCTCGGTCTATGATCTAGAGACGACCATAGTGCTTTCTTTTCACTTAGTGCAGAATGTGGCTGGGGGAGAGCTCATTCTACTCACTGTCTCTCAAAAAGGTGTCTGCGAAGTACAAGGTGCGCACAAAGCCAGTGAAGGAATCTTCTGCGGACCGCGCTTCAATCTTCCTCTGGATGGGAGCCAGTTCCATCTCCTGTAATGCATCATGGTCAAACTTGGAATTCGCCTCTTGCACCTTCACATGAAGAACAGAGGAGAAGAGAGGTAAGTTCACTCAGACATAACATTTCTCTTTCCTCCTCCTCCACAATCCCTTCTAGCGTTGGAGAGACAGCACGTAGGGATTAACAGATGCTGGTAAATTAAGGTTACTTGTAACCCAGGTTCTTCAAAATGGACTCTGCATCTTCACACTAGCAGGATGTTCCAGTCCAGGCCTGTGCATCTCATAAGAGTGGATGTGTAGAAGCTATTCAGTTTACCTGAATAGGAACAGGGCTATTCAGTTTGTCTGAATCATACAGAAAGATGAGAATTAGATTTTCATTTCCTTAACTTCCTCCTGCATATTGCAAGAAAACTGCATTTCTCCAACACTGGCCACTTTTGCTAGTGCAATAGGCTGAACTGAGGGAGCACTGGACTCAGAGACATCTTCCATTTTTGCTTGTGTTGTTGTAGCCGTATTGGTCCCAGGATATGAAAAAAACAAGCTGGGGAGGTAATATCTCATTAGATCAACTTCCATTGGTGAATTTTTATTGGGCCAACCTCTGTTGAGAGGACAGCTATACAGCCCCTGAAATCCAACCACCAAATAGTGACCAAGCCAGCAGACAAAGGGGGTGACATCATAGTTCTCAACCATGACGACTACATAAACAAGGCCAACTGACAACCCTGACACCACTTCCCATAAAGAACTCTAAGAGAACCCCATATCACAATTCACATAGGAATTTAAGGATTTCATCAAATCCTTCCGCAGACAACTCCAAGAGAAACTCTACCATCTCATCCCCCATTAACACACACCGGATCTTCTACATGCCTCCCAACACACACAAACAAGGGAACACAGGCAGACCCAACATATCTGGCCATGGCGCTCTTACTCAGGAAATATCAGGACTCTCAAACCATCCTCAAACCACTCACCACACAAAGGGCCAGCTTCCTCCAGAACATAACCTACTTCCTCCACAAACACCACAAAACCAACAAACTCTCTCAGAATACCATATTGGCCAATGGATCTCACTTCCCTATACGCCAACAACCCTCATGATGACAGCATCACTGTCTGCCTCAAATATCTACAAGAAAATGGACAACACTCAGATATCCACCCGAAATACATTGCCAAATTCATCCATTTCATCCTCACCCATAACAACTTTATATTCAACAACAATTTGTCCAAACCATGGAAACAGCCATGGGTACTAAGATGTTTCCCCAATATGCCAACCTCTTCATAGGCCACCTTGAGGAAGAATTTCTGGACCATGCTCCACAAAACCAATGACATACTTGAGATACATCAATTATATTTTCATTTGCTGGACAGATGACCTAAACTCCCTCAGATTTCCACCACAACTTGAACTACCACCACCCATCCATCCATCCAACACTCTACAATGCTCCTGCACCAAGATCAACTTCCCAAACACCACAATCAGCTTCAACAATAGAACCCTCTCACAGATCCAGCAACCAATCCAGATATGCCAAGAAATCAGTTATCTACAGCCAGGCACTCAGATACCACAGAATATGCTCTGAGGAGAAAATCCAGGATACACATGTGTAACACTTAAAATGACCTTCACCAAACTTCTCCATCAGAGAAGTAGACCGCACCATGGAACAGGATACCCTAATTCCCTGAGAGCACCTGCTTCAATTCAGAAAAAAAAAAAAGCCACTGACCACACATCCCTAGTTATCACATACCACCCCATACTGGAACTCATATAGGGTATCAAATAATTGCAACTCATACTTGATGGGGACCACATCCTGAAAAATCTTTCCCAAATCCCCTTTTCTGGCCTTCAAACAACTCATCAGAAGCAAGTTTCCCACAGACCAGGATACACCAACTCAAACCAGTACCAGACACTGCCCTAACAGATGCAAAACCTGCAGTCTCATCTTCACTGCTATAATGATCAATACCCCACAACACACTTTTCAAGATCCACGGTGCCTACACATAGCTATCACATGTGGTGCACCTTATCTGGTGAATCAAATGCCCCAACAACTATGAGGGTGAAACAAGATAATCACTATGCTCTCGAATGAAGTAAGAGAAAAAGGATAAAAGACAGAAATCGACATATCGCCCGGGGGGTGAATACTTTTCACAAAATGAACACTCCATCTCTGACTTCTCAGTCCAATTTGTCAAAGGAAACCTGCACAACACCTTAAAAGACAAGCCTGGGAGTTTAAATTCATAACTCTGCTGGACACCAAAAATCATGGACTCAGTAGCAACACTGAGTTTCTCTCTCATTAGAGCAATCTGTAACCCACTAACTCTTTTGTCCTAGGACTGCAGAAGTATAAATTGTACACTTCATTTTGAATGGTTTCTTGCAACGTTAACTCCTTATGCTTAACAATCTGTTCCATCTTGTGTTAGCTGTGACACTGATGATCTTTCCCAGACCTGAAGAGGAGCTCTGTGGAGCTTGAAAGCTTGTCCCTCTCACCAACAGAAACTGGTCCAATAAAGGCTATTACCTCAGTTACCTTGTCTCTCAAAGACATCAAGTAGTTACCTTTATAGAGAGAGTCTTCCTCTCTAGAGGGGAATCTAACTTTGGATATAAAACCTCCCTCAATCTTCCCTGGAACCTCTTTATAGTGTAGGGGAGGAGAAAGGCAGTGGCAAGCAAGTGAAGGAAAATACCCAACTTTGGTCCTTGATGAATTTCTGCATTTTATTAATATTTTTATTTCACCCCACAGGTTCAACTCCGGACAGCGGGTTTTGCCAGAGAAAGACCTGTATTGTTACAGACATACTTTCTGACCAGTATTTTGAAATAAATGAGCAAAAATAACCGAAACTGGTTTGATTATATTGTGTTATTTTGACAAATAAAATATGCAGAATTTGAAAATATTGTGTGCAGAATTTTTAATTTTTTGGCACAGAATTCCCCTAGGAGTAAATAGTTACCAATGTTAGGAGTGACAAGACTGAGGCCTGGTACATTACAGAGTTAGCTTACATCGACCTAACTATATAAGGGTTTACACTAAAATTTAGCTCCCACCGATGTAACTGCCCTGCTATGCCAACTTATCTTCACCTTCATGAGAGGCATAGAGTCAATGCCGATGTAGTTAGGGTGACTCAGTATCAGTATAGACACTGCGTTGATTACATAGACTGTTACCAGCTTTCAACAGCTATCCCACAATGCCCAGCAGTGACAGTACAATTGATACAAGCACTCCTGTTGAGGATGCACACTGCCGACACAAGGAACAAAGTGTAGAATGCACAATTACTGTGGCGGCTATATGCTGACCTAAATTAGGTCAACTTAATTCTGTAGGCGTGCCCTGAGTGCAGGCCATTATGCCAAGCTGCAATTGGTACAGTAAGGGCAAGTCTACACTACAAAATTAAATTGACCTAAGTTACGTTGAGGTACAGCCACTGCAGTAATTGAATTGGTTTTACACATCCACACTATGCTCCTTCTGATCATAGTGCATGTCCTCACCAGGAGCGAGTGCATCAATTTAACTGCCAGTGTGGGACATTGTGAGATGGTATCTAAAAGGCAGCAACAGTCGATGTAAGCAACGCAGTGTCTACACTGACACTGTCGACCTAACTACATTGACTTAAGCACTATGCCTCTCACGGAGGTGGAGTTAAGTTGGGATACTGGGGGAGTTACATCGGTGAGAGATGCATTTTAGTGTAGTCGCTTACAGAGTTATGTCAGAATAAGCAGTCTTACATTGACTTAACTCTGTAGTATAGACCAGACCTAAGATTGAAGATTAAGAACATCCGCATTATCCTGCTCCACGCACTGTGTGGTCCAAGCAGGACTTACAGGGCTCAGGCTTAGGGCTTGTCTACACGGGGAAGTTACTGCACTTTAAATTCACACTCTAGCTTACTGCGCGCTGACTCCCCACAAGTGCACACACTTACTGTGCACAAAGGGTGCCCTGAGGCAGTTTAGCTTAATATGACTCCAAAGTGTATTAAGTGCACACATACAAAGGCATGTCAACGTGCAGCAAGAGTGTCTACATGGAGTTAATGCAGAATAGCTAGCGTGTACCAGCTACTGTGAGCTTACCCACCACATAGACAAGCCCTTAGAGACAGACTGACTCACCTCCGCAGTGATCCCACCACCAGCTCGCCGCTTCCTGCTAGACACCCTGCTTCTCCGGATCCGCCTGAACGACTGCCGGAGGGATTTCTTCAAGGACTTCACCCGAGATAAAGGGCCTTCCAAGGCCAGTTGGTCACTGGGATGCAACGTACATCTAAGACAAAAAAAGAGTTGGCAGGCGTGCTCAGTTGCTTTTCTGAACAGCTGGCAGTCACTATGGGAGCAACTGGTAGCTAGGCATGTGAACTCTTACTAACAAGCACAGGAGAGACACTCACCCCAGCAGGAGAAGACTTTTCACTATACCCATTGCTCTCCATAAACCAAGAAATACCAACTCTTACTAGGACTACCTGGAAGTGCTAGCCAGCCAGCTTCCATACCTAGGGAAGTACCCATATCATGCCAGAAAGGAAGAGACTTACTTGACAAAGACCAGTCGTTTCTGCTGGTGATCAAAGAGCCCAAAGCCATGGCTGGTACCAAAGGCCACGAGCTTCCATTCAGAGTGAAGGGCCAGTGCTGTGACCACAGCAGGTGGTTGACATTGAACCAGGACAAATGGTTGGAAGCCAGGTTCAAATCGGACAGGCTCATCTCGGGCCTTTAGCCTCTCGTGACCTTTCCACTTATAGCCTTCTTGGTCCTGTAGTAAGTCTGCTTCAGCATGGTCAACAACATGCTCTGACTCTTCATCATTCAGTTCCATCACCAGTATCTGAGGAAACAGGAATAAGCTCAGAGGCCTTGTGCAATCCTCAGAGCTTTTAGACTCCACCTGATCTCTCTATGGCTTCAACATGCATACTTGTTTCCAACATGACCAGATGCCTCCCCATCTGACTCCTATGACAAATGGATACCCATTGGACAAAGTTTCCGTGAGAACTTTTGCCTCCCATTTTTTAATTTCTTCATTTGATTAATTATGTTGGCAGCATGAAGTTCTAGCTACCAAATTTGGTTACTCCAAGTCAGACCATCCTAACTCATTCAGTGCTCCCTAAAGAGAGGAGAGGGCTTGGGGGACAAAGCAAAGCACAGACGCTCACGTCAGTTTACATGAGAGGAGACCTGTTATGTCTTCACGGAAGGAGGATTGTGGCACAGGCTGACAGACATTATACAGACCCTGAAATGGGGTCTTCTATCACAGCAATAACACAGGCTCTTGCAAGGGACAGAAACAAGGGAGACAACAGAGGTAGTTTCGCCTTTTTGGGCTGAAATACATAAGGATCATGTATGCCAATCACAGAAAAGGGTTATAGCATCAAACTATCAAGAACAGGGAGGGCAAAGAACTATCAGCCCCCCTGCTGCAGCCCCCTCACTAGATAGCGAGAAAGCCTCAGGCCGGTTGCCTCCCCAAAGGTTCCTTGCAGCATGTGTTTGGATAGCAATCAGCAGCACAGCTATACCTCCTCCTGTCAGCAGGACTGCGAACTGATCCAGCCACTTTAAATGGTCTCCAAGCTTCTCCGTTATACGAATGTTGCAAGGTGGTGCCACTTACTGATTAGGCACCTGCTAGCTAGCAGGCAGCATGCCTGCACAAAATGCAAATAGCGGAGGTGTACAGACAACAGGCAGAGAAAATCAGGGGAAAGTTTTAAAAAGCTGAAGCATAAAAACCCAGGCAGCTGGCAACTACCTCAGGGCTGATCGGTCAAATCAGACAGAAGGGGCAGAATACAGTATAGACTAGAAGGAGCTGACAGGTAGGGGGACCTTTCCACAGAATGACCGTTTACAGAGTGAAGAAAACTCACCCCCAGAGGGGAATCAATTTTGTACTCCATTTCCTATGCTAGGCAAGAAGCACTCTGAAAAGCAGACCAAAAAAAAAAAAAATCAGTTTTGCGGTTTCAGTACCTGCCCTGCCGTACCAGCTACTGTCAGGTAGCCGCTGTATTTACACAGGTAAATCTTCTGGATCCCGAGCCTGGGGTCATCACTGTAAGGGTCAAAGGAACCAACCTGGTGGATGGAATGTAAAGAGGTCACATCAACACAAGCTGGCCTTAGCACTGCAGCTGCAGAGTGGACTGGCAACAACAGCAGGAACGCAAACTCTCCAGCTGCAGAAAGTTTACCTGAGTGATTGCCATCTCACCTTCCGCAGTGGAGGCCATTCATCCTCACCCAGGGGGTTCATGTTGTCATTGGGATCTGCGTCTGTGAGGAAGACCCTCACAGTGCTCAGCTTATAAAGGAGGCGCAAGCAAACACCTGAAGCATCCCAAAACCGCACGGTGCCATCTTCATGCCTGATGGAGAGGAGTCAGAAACAAGTCATGCACAGTCACTAGTAGCTGTGACAGCACGGGGAGAGAGTGGGAGGGAAAGAGGCAGAAAGGAAAAGCAGAATCCCCCATTCTAAGGGTATGTCTTCACTTACCGGAGGGTCCGGCGGCAGGCAATCGATGTCCTGGGATCGATTTATCGCGTCTGGTTAAGACACGATAAATCAATCCCGGAAGTGCTCGCCGTCGACACCGGTACTCCAGCTCGCCGAGAGGAGTACGCGGCATCGACGGGGGAGCCTTCCTGCCGCATCTGGACCCGCGGTAAGTTCGGACTAAGGTACTTCGAATTCAGCTACGTTAATAACGTAGCTGAATTTGCGTACCTTAGTCTGAAATGGGGGCTTAGTGGGGACCAGGCCTAAGAGATCAGCTATTTTAAGACAGAAGGCACAACCTGAGACATACATGCTAAGGTGTGAAGGTAGTCCTTTTACACATCCCTGAATCCTAGGGAGAATTTTAGTTTGCACTCCTATTGGGTTTTATGAAGCTGATGATGTAAAATAGAGGCTTTAAGAACACTGATAGAGCCAGACACAGGAAAAGAATATTACCTTCAGTTCACCTCCACCCCCTACTCCTAGCCTGTAGCTTCTACAACATTCTGAGCCATGGATGACTACTCTGCTGATGCAACTTTGATCTTTCCTGCAGCACCTCTAGGAAGAGCTAGTTGTGTCAAGAATCTTGACACTGAAAATCCTATAGAACTACCTGGCAGGGATGTTTGAAAAGGGCTATAAATTCCAGATGAAAAGCAGTAGAGGGGCAGACTTCTTGTACAAATATGGACAGGGAAATTTTCATTCTGGCACCCAGTGTAACACCAGAAACTGAAATGTCTAGACCTTACGGTCTGAGTGTGCTCATTTGCATCAATTATGTAAGACTGCTGTAACTCCAATGGAGTTATTCTTGATTTATACTGGTGAGGGTGAGAGACAGCCCTGCAGATATATTGTTCCCTCTGAACTGGCATCACTTCTCTTGACTGTTAGTCTAAATTTCAACACTGGAATTAGTCAATCTTGGGAAAGGTCAATAGTTTTTTTCAGGATGATCAAAGACAGGATGATTTCCTGTCACACAAGTTATGGCTTAACTGCTCTGACATCATGTTATAGGTCACAGGCTTTAAATGTCAGCAGTGCCGCTTCAAGAAATGGTGACCACCTCTCTGCAGAAAAGAACTCAGGAGTCAAGTCTATTCATGTGACACCCTTAATACAGGAACACATGCAGTTCAAAAATGGGTAAATACTGGGCAGGAATCCTTGATTTTTATCAGTTAAAGCACCTACCCTGTAAGAAGCAGGTCCCTCTGGGGAGGATCTGGAGCCAGGTTGGTGCCACCATCAATCGGCCATGGCTAAAAAGAAAACACTCTTGAAGACCACACCATGACTTTCTGTGAAATGAGAGTGCAACAGAGCATGCCATAGAGGGGGAGGAGAACGGGAAAGCATGAGCTACAAGGAAAGTGCATCTCTGTGTGTACTCTGTTAGCCTTTGTCTGGATTAAGATTAGATGTACTAGTTCTGATCTCATCAGTTGTACTTTCTTGGTTAGGAGTTGTTATATTCAAGTTTCCTCTTTAAGAAGCCACTGTGGCTGAGAGCTTCTGGTTTAGAAGCAGCTTTGCTTGCTAGCACTGACTGCTGGAAACAATCTGAGCTGGAGCTCACTTTTACTAAGAACTGATGAAAGCTGGAGAACTGAGTACAGTATTTTGAATTCCAAACAGTTGTCTTCACTAAGTCAATGGCGTTTTGGGAGCAGGACTTCTCAGTACTACCACTAACCACAACAGTGCGCCACTTGGCACTCTGCAGCCAGCCGGGCAGAAAAGATACCTACTGAGTACGTTAGAATGTTATGGGCATGTGAATGGGTGCATGCTTACAACTGCCATACCATAGCTGAGTAATGAGAGTTCTGCTTGCTCCCAGCGCTGATCACCCTCTCCCACAGTTTCAGTGGGATATTGGAGACGTGGTGTGAACAGGTGATGGCTGAGCAGTGGAGAGATGCCAGGTATGGAGGATGGACTGCTGGCCAGCCTGCACTCTTCAGGTCTATTACCACCAGCTCTTCTTCGGCTAGCACCACCATAGCAGAGGGGTCATCAAACTCTGTGCAAAGAAAATTCATTGAAACTATTCAACTGGCTTTTGATAGTGCACCTAGTGCTTTAATCACAAAATTGGCTACATGTGCTCTAAAAGTAGAAATAAGCTTCCTATAGAATAGGTATGAAAATATATTCCCATGACGCTTCTCCCCACAAACATGATTGTGAACAGCAGTAAATAAATATTCCTCTACCCTTTTTGGGCTAACCTGCATATTTAGCCAGAAACGCGAAACAACAGCTCTCAACAAGTTTGACAAAACCTTAGCAGCATTAATAGAAAGTCCTGCAGAGGGTCGGCCACAGCAGGAGTCAGATTTGGTCAACAATGTCATTTGGGTATGTCTAGACTGCAATAAAAGACCTGTGGCTGTACCTGGGTCAGCTGACTCAGGCCCGTGGGGCTCGGGCTCCGGGGGTACAATTTCAGCACAGACATTAGGGCTCTGGCTCTGAGACCCTCCCCACTTGCAAGGTGTCAGAGTCTATGCTCCATCCCCAGCCTGAACGTCTACACTGCTATCTTTAGCCCCACAGCCTGTGAGCACAAGTCAACTGACCCAGGCTCTGAGACTCAGTGGTGTGAATTTTTTATTGCAGTGTAGATGTACCCAAAGAGGCCTTTGACCTACAGTTAGCTAATAACGCCTGGGATGGATGGGTATGTATTCACCCCGGCAAGGACTGTTTCAGTGCTATGTTAATACCTCAGTCCCTCAAGGCTAAGCTGCTTAAAAGCAGTAATGCAGCAGATTCTGGGAAATGCTGTGCTACTTGTAATTGACAAATGTTTACATTTCAGCTCTCAGACATCTGAAGCTTCCCTGCCTCTGGTGTGCTGTGCCATCTGCACTGCTTGAAAAGAGCATGTCTATACCGGTAACAGCACTACAATTATTACATACAAAAAGCTGTTAATGCAACCACAGAGCTGAGACTGCTAGCATTCTGTATTACTGTACACGACATTAACACTCAGAGGCACAACCAGAATTTTGCTAAGGAGGGGGCTCAGATTACTAGCTGCGCCAAATGTGAGTAGCAATGCGATCCTGCGCACCAGGACCACACCACCACTTGCTCGACTTTGGCCTGGACAGCCCTTCATCAGCACAGGGGGCTGGCTGGGTGCACAGGGTCACAATGCCACTCATGTAAGTAGGGCCCAGACAACACTCTGTCAGATGGTCATGGGCCCTCTGGGCTCCTCTCCCTTCACTGCACCCTGATATTCATGCTTTTGCATGTGTTACAAGGTGGCCACGTTACAACCGACGAGAAACCAAAGTTGGGCTCTACCCATAATCTAAATTATTTATTAATGTAGGTTTTTCAGCTCTTTAAAAAGCATATAAAAACTACATAAGTACACTTTATTTCAGTGTGAAATCTAATGAAATGAACACATCAACGCATGGTAACCATGCCCACTTATACCCTAAACAGCTCTCCTTGGCCAGATCTCTGCTCACAACTCTATTTGGGTTAGTTTTCCACCCTTAAATTCACCTCTTGCTCACTTGTCTGACCATCTGAAGTATAAGACTCACCAGTAACAAAATCGACTAAACAAACCCTACAAGACACTCAGTATATTAATATTTGCTTCAAGTGAATTATTTCTCTACCTCACACTGGGTTGGGAGTCAGGTGATCTGGGTTATACTTCTGGCTCTGGCCTGCTGAACAACCTTAGGCTAATTACTTCTGTGACTCAGTGGGGGGGCGAGGGGGAGAAGAGGGGGAGAAATACGATATAGCTAAAAGAGCTAAGCGTTTTGTTATTTTCCTCCTCAGTCTGCTGTCCTTCACTGTGCCTAATTCAGACAAACTCTGCAGGGCAGCAGCCCAGTCTCTTGTACATCCGTAGAGCACCACACACTTATAAGCACTATATAAATATAGTGAGCACTGCACCTTGGTACAGCATCAACAATATGGGCAGTACACTGTACATGCACAGTTTAACAGTACAGGCAATAGAGTTATGCATGTGTGTCTCATCCACCCACCAACAACTGAAAACAAACAGGAACAGCCAATCTGCATGTTTATTTTTTTTTAAAGTATTCTCAGTCTGAAGATGGGGAGGGAAGGGGAAGAACTGCCTTCTAGAATCATGCTGCTATACACAAGCTTTACACTCATTAATTTAAGTGGCTTTGGGATACAACCATCCCTACTTCCATCATGAAGAACACCCTAAGGGGAGCGTGACGTGAGCTGGGCAGATCCACTCGTATTAGGCACTCAGCCACAAGGAAGCTTGCTGACCACAGACATGACATTTAATTTTAAATAACTTCCTGGTCTGAAGTGCTGCAGCTACAGCTTCCTCTAACAGCTCCTGGGTGCACACATTAGAAACACATGCAAACTGGATGGCTCAATTCTTGGGCAGTATAAGTTTGGTAGCTTGTAGTTATTTCAGGCTAAAGGCTCAATTCACATCTAGGAATTGTGTTTAGTGTCAAGTGTGACACTAGAACTCTGGTTATTCCAACTTTAAATATATTCTCGTCAGGTTTCTTGTCAGCATCTCAGAGCAGACACCTGCAAGGTTAAAAAAATTGGCTCATGTGCTTCTCTATGATGTATAAAGGAGGACTGAAAGGTTGTCTTTTAAAATAAGAAATTCAGGTCTTGTCTATCCTGGAAGACACTGTAGCCTTATCTATGGGTACGTCTTCACTTACCGGAGGGTCCGGCGGCAGGCAATCGATGTTCTGGGATCGATTTATCGCATCTGGTTAAGACGCGATAAATCGATCCCGGAAGTGCTCGCCGTCGACGCCGGTACTCCAGCTCACCAAGAGGAGTACGCGGCATCGACGGGGGAGCCTTCCTGCCGCGTCTGGACCCGCGGTAAGTTCGGACTAAGGTACTTCGAATTCAGCTACGTTATTAACGTAGCTGAATTTGCGTACCTTAGTCCGAAGTGGGGGCTTAGTGGGGACCAGGCCTATAATAGGCAGTCTAGTGTCAACAAGGTTATAGTGACAAACATCTTTCCTGCTTTCATCATACATCATAAAGAAGCAATTAAAGTCCATTTTAACTAATCCTTTAAAGCCATTTGTAGGAAAACATGGAAACAGCTACAGTGTTTAAGTTTCCAAACTAGATGTCTGCTTCTCCAAGATATCCATCTATTAAAACCGGAAGTCTTCTCTGTATTACAGACCACCATAAACTGAAAAACCTAGCAAGGCTAAGTAGCACATGTCAGGAGAGAGTTGCCCACAAAACCCCTCGAGGCACTTAATTCACTCAACTATCTTTTTTTACTGTATATTTCTGTAACTTAAAATAACTAAGGTCCACATTGCTAGCAGGAATAGGAGAAGCTATGGGACATGCTGATTGGGAGATGGTGGAACAAATACGATTGAGTCATTTCTAAGCGGTATAAAAAATGTAAACATTTGTGTTGGCCAGCAGAGAATTAATAAAATGCTTTGTTTACTGACCCTTAGTTGTAACCTTACCCTTTGTTCATATGCTACATGGAGCCTCATGTCATAAACCCAGACAGTAATTAAGAAAGCCACTCACTCCCAGTCTGAGATTGTTTTTTTTAATTACAGTCCCCTTTGATGAGCTGTCTCTTAATTGCAATATTCAGAACTGGATCTCGTATCTTAATCATGCCCCATGTCCAACCTTGCTCTGTTTTCATGAGCTGAAAAGGGCACAACAATATAACAAGTGGTTTTAGTGGGTGCTTATGAAGTTTGTAGCTGACCCATCACTGCTGTCAGTATTTAACACTTCACTTATAAATGGCATCTTTAGACATTTACAATGCTACAAAACAACTCAACACAAGCAAAACAATGCTTTGCATCTAAGCTGCTACTTGTCATACCCAGAATCTCCACCCACAGAGCAACTCCAGACTACCCCTTACTCTTCAGAAGAGAAGGGGCACCTTCTCAACACATACCTGCAGCACGATCTGCATTGCAGATGACAAAGAAGTCTATCACCCGAGATGTAAAGTCAAAGGCAATCTGCTGGCTGCCATGGACGACTGAGATACTGTGCCGGTCACCATAGCTAGCCCGGGGCATCCCTCCTTGGAATATAATGTAAGGTAGCCTTAAAAACAAAGACACACATTTGTGCTCTCTTTAGACTCCATCTATTTCACCGGAAACTTATTAACTGAGAAAGTCTAAGGCCCCAACGTTTGACAAAGGCTCCCTACAGTGTTACTCAAAAGGGGCTACATGTGTGAGACAAGTGTAGTCAGCAATGGATTACAAGAAAACTTGTGCTCCCCCCCACACAATCCTATTATTATTTGAAGCATCTCTTGTGAACAGTAGGTGGGAGGGAGATGAATAACCAAGAACCTACCCATTCTTTGTCGTCTGCCAATAAATCTTGGAAATGGCCTTGCAAGGGAAAGGACCTAGGATGACAGATTTACAAAGTTACCACAATTGTAAGATGAATCTTACATTAGGTGGAGTTCATATTTCTTGCGAGGGGAAGCAGAGTGGAAATTGAAGGCCCTTTTTAATTATTCTGCTTTATATTGACGAAAGTGCCAAATGCATGGTAGGGCGACACGAGCTGAAAAGTATGTGGAGCAGTGGCACCTCACTGTGCTGAACTCAGAGAAGCAGTACTTTCTCTAGGAGATCCCATTTCTAGTAGTATTATTCAGAGCAAAGGTGGCTAAGGCCAAAGGGTAGCTGACTTGTATCACTAACAGAAGTATCATGTGCTGTACCTGGCTGGCAAGGGCTAGGAGCACTGCACTACAAGCCAGCTGTCCCCCAGAAGTGCCTCAATTTCCAGCACTCTTCTGGTTAATGCAGGAGTGATAGTAAGCTCTAAAGGCCAGGTCAGGTCAGGCCAAGATGGAGGCCTCCATATGGCAGAAGGAAGAAGTCATCCTCTTTTGAGGAGTTTCAGCCAAGAGGCATCACTTCCTCTTTAGCACTCAAGCAACGGACAGGAAAAGAAATCCACTTAGCTCATATAGAGGAGTCACTTGGCTCTTGCTAAAGAAGAGCTGGACACCTGACTCAGAACAAGGAATAAGACTGAACCCCTAGGCTCCTTTCCTGATAATCTGAGCTATGCTTCTGTACACAGATTTTTACCTCCAGCTCATCTATGCTCAGTACAGACATCAAGTTAGGCATCCTTGCTTCAGCAGAGTTCAAAGGCAAAGCAAACTGGAGACCCCTTTGAGTTCAGATGTTTAAGGCCCATTGGGGCAACAGCTCTGCATTGCGCTGCCATGACTACACACCAGGGGAGTTTGACTCTGAGATCCCACAGGGGCTTGAAGTGAGTTTGAATTTAAGAGCAGTTCAACAAAAACAGTTTAAGCCTCAGCACAGAAGCAGTTTGTTTCTATCACACATATACTGACCATAAGGCACTTTGCTTTCCAGGGGCTCAGGCTGCCTGTTATCATTGGATACTGGCCACTGGGCATAACTTCCATCATAATGGCAGCTAATGATTTGACGGCCATCCTTCTGCCAAAAGAGGTTCTCCAGTTGCTAGGGAGGAAGAGAGATAGAATGATTGATATCCAGAGAATCATTAACCCTTCCAGAACCAGAATATACAATCATAGGAGGGAAATAACTAAGTTGGCTCTCCCTGCCCCTCCTGGGTCTGTATTTCTTCAGAGAATCCCGGAGAGAGGGGGGCTCACCTTCCCCCTGCCCAATGATTTCAGCCATCATTAATACCTGACTGCCCAGGAAGTGGTGCGACACTCTTTTGTTATGCAGGTCCCAGAGGACAATGAGGCCCCTGCTGTATCCAATCAGAATCTGGCCAGGGTTCCTGGGATGCTCCCGTAAAGCTTCCACCAATTCAAACGACCGCCTGTTACGATAGTCTTCTGGCACCCTGGGCAAAATGCGGAGAAAAATTAATCCACGTGCATCTGAATATGACAGCCACATTGACAGTGTAAGTATGGGAGAGAAACATGTTGGGAATGACAGGGAAGGTGAAACTCTTAGAAGGGTGAGAACAAGCAAGGTATCTTTTCAAACACAGCCAAGATCCTTACGATTTGCAGGGCATTAAGCAAGGAAGCTACTGTGGAGCCTCTAAATGAGAGGACCTCCTTGCTCAGTCCCACCAACAGAAGGGGAAATCAGATGCCTATGATGAAATCTACAGAAGGAAACCCACAAAGTGGCGTGTAGAAAGGATGTGAGCTACCTCCCTCTCCAGTCCCACTGACCGAGGCAGGGAAGGAGTGGAGAGGAGAGCCACAGGCAATGGGACGAAGCTGACACAAGCCTGTAGCCAACTGTTTGTGCTTACAGCCAGCACCGGAAGCAACACATTCCAAAAATGTGTTTTTTAGTGAGACTCCCACCTCCAAAGATTACAGGTACATAAGGAATCAGGGCAACATTTTCAAAAGCATCCAAAGTGCCGTAGGAACCTTGGGCACTTTTGAAAATGTTTGCCCATGTCTACAGAAACTCAGGGTAAGTTACCACCTCTTTCCTATTGCCCATACAAAAAAATTAAACGCCTTGTTAAGCCTTCAAATGAATTTAATATTTGTTTGCGAGACCGGGATACATAAATCAGGAGTAAGGCTACGGTTATGTCACTTACGTTGCAGAAGTCACAGAATCCATGACTTCCAGAGACCTCCATGACATTGGAGCACTGCAGCAGCGGCTGGGGGACCCCAGAGTTCCCCAGCCCCACAGGGCAGTGGAGGATCCTTCCCCCCCAGCTCCCATCCCCTGCCAAAGGCAGGGGATCCCCCTCCCCCCAGCTCCAAACCCCTCGACAGGAGTGGAGGCCACAGCTCTCAGCTGCTGCATGCAGGTCACAGCTTCTGTGAATTTTTGTTTATTGCCCATGACCGGTCCATGACTTTTACTAAAAATATCCATGACAAAATCGTAGCCTTAATCATGAGACAGGCACAGCATTTCCAGACCTACTAAATGCTTCCCCTACATAGTTCTGCAATGTTCTACAGCGCCTCTGCTATGAATGTCTTGGGTTATTCCTGACCAGAAAATACCATCTGTATAATGCAGATAAACTAGGGCCCAGAGTAAGGATGTGTCCCTCCAACACCATCCAACATTTGCAGCCTGTTACAGTTAATGTAAGTCAGGCTCCAGTGTACAAGCCGGAATAAAAAATTGGTTAAGTGCAACACTCTCAAACTTTCCCCTTCTGACTGTCATGCTTATACATAACAAATCCCATTGGTCAATATGCCCATTTGCTCACCGCTGCAGCACTGCCTCAGAGGTGATGGTCCTATCCTCTAACAGTCTGAAGGATGGGAGCTCTACCACAAAGACAGTGCCACTCTCAGTGCCAAGGTACAGAACTTCCCGCGATGAATGTGGAAGGACAACGGTTATCTGGGTGGCACTTGGAGGAGATCTGTGGATGCAAAAAGAAACCAGTTAACTGCCTGTGAAGGAGATCAGTTCTAGAGAGAAGCAGCTATGGTATTAATTTAAACAGCTCCATAGAGCTGCAAATGAAAGCTGACCCCTGCTTTACCCATAAGCCATTTGCAAGAGATTCAGTAGGCATTTTGCTGGACAAATGGAGCTTTGAGCCAGGATCTTGGGTTTTTTTGGAAGCAGAACACCAGCTTTAAAATAAACCTAAAAATAATCCAGAAATGCATTGATAAAGAGCTGTGTGTGTTAGATGAGTTTCCCCCTAATAGTGAGTAACTACCCAAAGAAGCAGAAAGAAATAAGTTGTCCAGAGACTGGAAAACAATTTAACTAGAAATATTGGGATATTTTAAACTGTGCTTTAAATGATTTAGTTAAATCCATGGACACACTTATTGATGTAAGACTAGTTACAGGGGTAAGCTCAACAGATATGTCAGGTTTAAATTGATTTAAGAGAGTACACAGAGTTGCACAGATTTAACTAAATGTATTTTAAAAGTAAACCTTTAAATTGGTACACCTTTGTATTCAGATGAGGCCTCATTCAAATCCTGTTGGCATCAATGGAAACACCCCTATTGACTTAAGTAGAAAGTGGACTGGGCCCTAAGTCAGGGCACTGTGAACTAAGCCATGTCAGAGTGCATTTCATAAGCTCCTGTGTGGGTGGCACAGGAAGAAGAGAGAGAGCAATATTAGAGCACATTACCCAGGAGGCCCTCGTAGTGTGAAGCGTTGTTCCTCCTGCAGCTCAGATGCCCCACTACGCTGCTTCAGGCTCCAGAGATGCAAGCTGTTATCATCCAGCAGTGTCACCAGCTGGCACTAAAATCAAGAGACATGATCATAAAGAAAGCAACCTATTTAAAAGCAGTACACTAAGTCAAGCAATAAACCACTGCTGTTCAGTGATTATCTCAGTTAATGCAGGATTCAGGACCCAGTCACACAGAGTGGCAGGCTTATACAGTTGTATTCAGGAGAATTCTGCTGATTCAGGCAGTAAAGGACTTGGGGACTACACAGAATGGCCTGCAGGCTTAAAAGCATTTATTGCCTGCTTCTGTATCCAATATACCAGCAGGGAGGGATGAGGGCTTGATCCTTGAAGGATGCAATATTAGCTGCACTTTCATCAATTGGGAAGTCCCACACTCTGATACCTATTTCAGAGAGCTATGTTGTAGCTAGCACACAGTATTTACATCCTTCATGGTTTGCTGAAGTGGGCACACACCCCTCCACACCCCTGCTTTGGGAGTTGCTGGTGTATTCCACTTCACAACTCATCTTGCATTCTCTGCGTCCAACTTCCTTCTCAAGGGTGGTGCCACAGAGTCCTTTTATGAGCCCAACCCTGCCAGTTGTACATTCAAATGAAGCATTTTGCCTGCTGAAGCCACACCTGGTACAACCATGTAATACTCCCCATGGGAGTTTCAGTTTATACCATTAAGTTTTGAGTGGTTTACTATCTAGAGAATTCACACCCTCTCATAATACAACACTGCTCTCCCCAAATGGGTGAGTCAGACAGTAAAGAGGCTAGTCTGCTAGTTAGTCAGGTGGGGGGGGGGGGAAGAGGAGGAGGAGGAGGAGAGTTAGAAAGCCAACAGGCATCTGGGGAATTTTATCTTCCCATTTTTAGTTAGTGATGAAGCCACACTATATAAGAGCTAAGGAAGGAAGCTTAAAAGGGGCTAGGTTAGCCAAAGCACGTCAGGCCAAAGAATGATGAAACCTGCTGAACAGCAGCTGCTGTTTCATCTGGCGAGCACTGCACAGCGCAGAGGAAAATGGATATGATCCCACTACAGAAATGCAGGATGCAATACAAAAGGAAGCCTCTTGCAACAGCAACTATCCTAATCCTGTTGCCACTATCATGGGTGCTTTCTGAGCTCAATTAAAAGGTGCTGCTCTCTCTATTTTTAGGACTAACATCTTCACGACAATGGGTGCTATTTACAGCACAATGAACAACACTGGGGAGGCCTGTCACAGACCCAGCATTTCTAGAACACAGACATTACACAGCCCAAAGGAATTCTAGAACTCAGGGCCTGGAGGTGAGCGCACACACACACACACACACACACACACACACACACACACTCTAACTGAGGTATATGAATTCCACTCACCTGGCCGGGAATAAAGTGTATCTGCATGACGGTATTGTTTTCTTCATGTAAACCCATAAACTCCACCCCTGGAGCTCCATATCTGAAACATTTGTTGAGGATCAACAGAATTAAAGATCACCTACAGCTACAATCACTTGAGGAGTAGATGCTAGCAAATGAGATGAGATTTAGTTAGAAACCAAGTGGAGTCAGTGGTGATCATAGACTCCTTTGAATCCATACATGCCTAGTTAGAGTTTAGTGTGCACACAACAATGGAAAGCATGTACAGGAGTTTTTACTTGGTAGTTTGGGGGAGATGCAGAAAGGGTGGCTGGACCCTGCTTTCTCCAAAGGTTATTAGTGGTTTCCCCACACACTTCAATCCCTGCTTAACCAATCTGTAACCAGGAGACAGATGGCTAACGCCTTCCTGCAGAGCTCAGCCTCTCTGAACACAAACAGTGCTGGAAATGATTAAGCAAGCATAGACAGCTCTAACTTTTCCTTTCTGGGTTGGAGTGACACGCCTCTTTCATCCCAAACTCAGCTGGCCTTGTGTCATGGGAACCACCTCTCAATGCCTTTGTGTATACACAATACACGCTATCCCGGGACTGGACAAACAACCGCCTTCAAATGTTTTACTTCTGGCCCAATATTGGGGGACTTTACGGTCCTGGATGAAGACTAATCCAGGAAGCAGAATGTCTTTATGGCTTAAACTTCAACCTTTGAGATGGTATTGAATAAAATATAATCTCCCTCCCCCACTTTACAGTATTAAGATAGCCTTGGCCTTTATAATAAGGGACAATTAGCTTTTAAGGCCAGAAAGCATCATTATGCTCATCTATTCTGATCCTCCACATACGATCTTACTTGGTAAAGGAATTTGTTGTACGCAGTGTTATTGTAGCCATGTTGGTCTCAGGATATGAGAGAGGCAAGGTGGGTGAGGCAATATCTTTTATTGGGCCAACTTCTGTTGGTGAGAGAAACTTTTGAACTTACACAGAGCTTGTCTTCAGGTCTGACCTGAAGACAAACTCTGTATAAGCTCAAAAGCTTGTCTCTCTCGCCAATAGAAGTTGGTCCAATAAAATATATTACCTCACCCATCTTGTCTCTCTAAAAGGAATTGGATCACTTCACCCCCTTTTACTGCTTCCATATAATGCATACAAATGTGTTAAATGCATACAAATGTGTGAAATGCATTATATGAACAAAACTACATATCAAACTGGATAATGGAAGACTAGATTCATTAGGCGTATTCCATGTACTTTGCTTATTTTTTGAAGATCATATATTCCACTACAGACTAGAAATAAGGTGCAAAATTAAGCAAGAGCAATTAACCATCTCTCTAAAAGTAGTACTAGAGCTCAAACAAAAGGTTACTGAGTGAAGTTCTTTCCTTTGTTTGTCAGATAATGCTCCAGACAATTTAAGAATCCAACCTGACACTGCAAGTTGTGAATCACACGTGTAGAAAGGATACAGTTTGATGGCTCCTGATCTGGTCCCAATAGCCATAAGATGGAGAGAGGGGCTATATCCCAATGCACTGGGCTGGTGGGGAAATCCATGTTCTACAGTCTGGAGAAAACAAAACACACCTCAAGGACATGTAGTTTCATTGGCATTGTGCATCATACACGGGCAGAAGCCAGAAATTAAATATGGTTTAGTTGTTTCAAATATAGCATGTTCAAGGATAATGTTTTAAGTCAAAAGATGCTCCCACAGAAGAAGTTTGGTTGTCTCGGTCAATAACCGTCAAATTGACTTACCAAGATCCGCTTGTTATTCAGTACAGATGCATAAACACTGAAATACTGCAACTTTCACTACCACAGAAATGGCAAAGGAATATTCCACAACAAGGAACCAGTGGAATGGGGGAGGGGAGGGGACTCAGCAGGGCCGGGAAGAGGTGGGGCGTGGGCGGAGCAGGGCCAGGTCGCTGCTGCTGCCAGCGCCAGGCCGCTGCTATCCCCCTAGGCCACCCTGGACCCCGCGTCCCCCTGAAGTGTGGAGCCCCCCAAAGTATGGGGCCCAGGGTAGTTGCCCTGGTCTATTCTATGGGCAGGATGGCTCTGAAAATATAAGCCCAAACATTGGTGGAGCTGGGCCCACATTCCTGAATATTGGTGGAGAACAGGCACCACGGGCTCATATAACTCACCACTTACGCTCTTATGTATAGCTTGTATATCAATTCCTGCTAGCAGCCTTATGGCAAGTGCCCAGAATGGACTCAACGTACCAGCCAAGAAGGCAACGTCCCACAGGGCAGTTGGAAAAACTGGTGAATATGGTATCCAATTCCCAAACATAGCAGGGGACACTGGGTTTTATTCACAGTATCTAGGGACCTATCAAGCCATCAAACTAGCTCAGAGAGGCTCTATTACTGATTATTAAGAGATGTTCATGACTCTAGCGGATAAGAGCACAAAAAGCAGCTTGTTTGGTTTTAGTGACTGCCATATAATACATGCTTAGACCAAGACACACAATTTGGAGTGGATATGTACTACCTACCTAGGAAGGTAAGAAATTTACTGAATACAAACACCTATGTAAAGTATTTACAGAGTAAACAGTGTCTTAAGAGTGCAGTCAACAACTATGGCACTACTGCAATTTGGAAACAGCTCAGATTCTAGTCTTCAGAAGTGCCAGTTGTACAGTTGGCCCAAACCCTGGATATCTGAACATTATGTGGTCTTAAGATAGTAACTACAATTAGATCTGAAGAGAGTTGTAGATTGTGCGCTTCCAGAGGGGAAGTCATTTCTAAACAGACCACAGGACAAGTCAGAGAACAAATGGAATGCCCCTTTACTTAGTTCCACATTTAGAAATTGTGCCAGCATACCTAGGTCAGTTAGGAATGTGGGGGGAGGGGAATCCCACCCCTAACAGATATAGCTGCTCTGGTAAAAGATCTAGTGAACATGCAATCATACCGGCAAAAAAGGTCCTTTCTGAGGTAAGGGAACTGGCATAAGCTATACCAGCAAAAGCATTCTTGCTGGTATAAGCTGCATTTCCTTTAGCATTCTTGCTGGTATAGTATACACACAAACCTTTTCTAGTAGATGGGGCCTTAGTGCTAGAAGCACCATCTCAAACTGAAGAGCTCTCCCATTCGTTTATTCTGTGTACAGTCAGTTTCCTCTGTTTGTGAGGTGATCAAGAGTTCAAAAAAGGTACCATGAGCCATAGGGAAGGGCAAAACATTTCAAGTGTTTTTTTTCCTTCTTTTTTAAATGTACTGAAGATTAGGTAGCAAATGGCCTGGAATCCAAACATGTCCTTCAGAGAGGAATGTGGGCAACAGCACAAGGAGCAAGTTTGGCAGCAAAGGCCTTAGCGGCGCCTGATACAGGACTAGCTTCATAGAGTAACCATGGGGAATAAATCTGGAATAAAGGACCACTGATATGAGTCCTTGCAACACTTTCTACCAACCCTCAATTACCTGATTTGGTTAATCCAATACCAGTAGGAAAGAAAGGAAGCATTGCTCCATCCTAAAGTGGATTGATTCTGTACATAAAGTACTGTACAGTACAATGAGTTACACAGGTGCTCAGTATTATCTGAGGACAAATACTCCTTTCTGCTTAAGATAGTTTGAATCCTTATCACTTGAAATGTGGCATCTCGGGGCTGTAATATTTCTTAAGTTTTCATTTAAATCTATACCTTGAAACAATATACAATATTCTCCCATTTCCCCCCAATTACTAAGGCCTTGTCTACACGAACCAGGGATCGACACGCAGTGATCAATGCATTGGCAGTCGATTTAGCGGGTCTAGTGAAGACCTGCTAAATCCACTGCATATCGCTCTCATTGACTCCTGTACTCCACCTGAACGAGAAGCGCAAGGGGAGTCGACGGGAGAGCGTCTCCAGTCCACATCGTATACTGTGGACCCCGCGGTAAGTAGATCTATGTCAACTTCAGCTACATTATTCATATAGCTGAAGTTGCATAACTTAGATCGATCTCCCCCCATAGTGTATACAAGGCCTCAGTTTACTGATTCTGTTCAGTAATGGGACTGTGTGAGTTTTATTTTTAAATAAGTGTGATTCAAGAGAAACAGTTATTCCATTTAATGCCACTTACGGTGAAGGTGTCTTCAGTGGAAACCTTGAGTTCAGTAACATTCAACCACAACTCTAAGCTAATAACGTTTATGGTACAACTGATATAAGTCACATGTGAACCCACATTTATGGAGGTAGAAGGCAAGCTGATTCATCTCAGTGGTATTCTACCATATTAAAACAGCACTAGGTACCACAAACGCATTATCCCTGGATTTCTGTAACTTTAGGATAAGTATAATCTGGCATCAGGCACAGAAATGATTCCAATTGTTGGTAAAACCGATATCTACATCTTGTCTAGAATGACAATTTATCACATGGGTTCATTTCAACCTCGCAATAAAAGTAATAGATACAGCTATGCTGTTCTGGATTCCATGACCTCTAAAATCAATTCACCTCTTTTCCATCTGTGCTACATACAACACAAGTAATTTTTGTGCTGTAAAAGAGGTTGTAAAGACGACCATTTAGATGCTGTTCATTTAAACAGCAGTGACAAGCTTTGTTGTCTTTGTTCCCAAATTTTCCTGATACAAGAAATAAAACAATGAGGATTCTACCAGCACATTCTTCCTGTTCGGTTTCTAAATATGTTCCACTTAACAGAGCTCAAGGCCCAAGGGCAAAGAAATGGATGGAAGATAGACACTTGCTTGCCACTGATCATAAAAAGTGGAAATGCAGTTCATGCGTCTTCCCCTGCCCCAGCTGCATATATAAAAATCCTAATGCACATCAAGGATATGGGAATATCCTGCCCACAAGTGCAAAACAGTTAGCTGCAGTTTAATGGGTTTATTTTTTACAGCACTGCAGGTGTGCCTGTTGCTTTACAAACGCAAGATAAGGCGCCTGCAATTTAAATGGTGACAATGTACAGACAAAGGAGGGGAAAATGGATAAAATGAAGTTATCTGAATACGCATCATTGATGACTGGTGTGGGGTGTGCATTTCCAGGTTTGTTTGTTGTTTCTAGTGTAGGCAAGACGGCAGGAAGTACATTGTGGCAGGTTTGTTGCTGTGTTCAGCTTTGGAACTGGGGTGTGACTTTGCATACAGATTTCTCTCCATTGATTAATCAAGATCTCTCTGCGGATTTCTTTCTCCTCGCAAATAGTACAGTGAAGTCAGAACTAAGGCAGCAGCTGTTTGGCTGTCCCTGTTTTCCCTCATTCATATCTGGCTGATGGAAGCAGCAGCCTGTACTTCAACCTGTTCAGCAGGTGAACCTCTAGTGGGGGAAGGGAGGATGAGAGTACAATAGAGCCTTTTAGTGGTGCATATAAAGTACTGGTGTGACAGCAATGCCATCCCCCTTCTCAAAAAGGGACCTTTTTGTTTCTTTTAGGTGAGCCAGGAGGTTTCATTTTCATTTTCCTAAAACTGCAAAAACCAGTTTCAAGTTCAGGGCAAAAGGAAGCCTGGTGTCAGCAGCATTCGTGAACAGAGGTGTTTCACATTAGCTATATTTGCTGCAAGAAAGAAATGGGCAAACAGCTCATTCAATCCAAACTGAAGCTGTCTGAACTGGGTCCATAGCTGTTCCTCCTCCTTTCCCTCCCCTGCAGTCCTATTTGGACATTTTATGACAATGCAAAATAAAGGAACTGCATCTTTGTTAAATACTCCCTTTGAAGACAACAATGAGGCCGGTGGGTGTTAAATCTATTTGACATAGTTCCTTATTCAGCGAGTTAAAAATCAACCATCCATCACACCACTTAGCAAGAGGTGGGAAGAGAAGGAAAAATGCAGCGCACATCTCTGCCATAAATTAAACGGAATGCTTCCAATGTGGTAAGAAAAGGTGGGTGAGGTAATCTCTTTTCTACTATAACCCAGTTAGCAACTCAGCTGCAGGACAGGCTGGTTCACCTATGTGTTACCTATCATCTAATCAGACAGTGCCAGTCTGAACATGTTTTGTCTTGGATTTGGACTGAGCCAAATGTATCAGATATTATGCTAAAAGCAGGATGAACTTTTTTTAAAAAGCAGATTGTCAAGTACACAAACCTTTCACTCTGTGCTACCTATTGAGCTAAAAACAGATTATTGCAACAGGTATATACAAGTACAGGTAGTTCTTGGTCATACATAGAGAGGTATGCAAAGCCAAGTCATCCACACAGAATGTGAGAAGGCAATTATTTAAAGAGCACATGTTGTTACAAGAGTTTAATAGGAGAGAGGCTGGAAAGCTAGCCTGGCTGCACAGGTCAGTCCTTCAAAATTATCTGGGTTGTTCAATTTCTGACAACAGGTAAACTCTGGAGCGCAGACAGAACAGGGAGGAGGTGAGAGAACCAAGCTGGGAGACATAAGCCTTTAAAATGCTTAAAATCCCAGTTGAACAATTACATCAAGTTAAGCAGGAGGCATGTCCTTAAAGTAGCCCCATTCATTGCTGGCATAAGCAGATGCAACTCCACTGATTTCAATGGGATTACACCCTCATAGCCAATTCATTACTTGAGTATGTAGGTATAGTGATTTACTGCTAATTACCAACATCAGAACTACTGAATTTTACATCTAATATTGAACAAAGAGCAAGAAGCAGCCAGGTCCATGAGTGATGCAGTTAGATACAGGTCTAAAATGAGAAAAATCCCTCAATAGGGAGATATAGCTAAACTGGGATGGAGAAGGAGACAAAGCTAATGTTTAAAAAAAAAATTCTCCATAGCTGTAATCATTCATATTGACCAGTACACAAAGCCACAGTCCAATAATCCCACCAAATGAAATAGGGCTCTCTCGAAGCAGTCTAGCTGGGAGGATTCAAAGGATGACTGGGCTACACAAGACAAATTTTAAGGGAAGAAAAAGCATCCCAGAATATATAGCGCTATTTTAATTGGAGGACCACAACACTGTAGGTGTGGAGATCACTTTTCCTCAAATGATTCTTCCTTTCCAGTGCTTATGGGAAGATCATACTTTCTGGGACCATGTCTATTTGCCTGGTTTCTGCATCAGAGGATACTGGGACAGCTCAACAATTAAATGCTGTACAAGGAAACATCCCAGAAATTTGTTCTCGCCCATCAAAAATGTAGGGTTTCCAGTTGATATACTAATGTCAGCAAAATAGGAACAGACAGATTATATGGGCATTATATTTTTGTTACCAAAATATACTGTCTACTGCCCTCTCAATTTTTTCCCTTACACTAATCAGTCAGTAGTTACACTACTCAACTTTTGATGTACTGCACATACATCCCTGCATGGAGAGAAGTTAGACAAACTGAGGACTAACTTGTGCCCATACTGATAGAATGACAAGCTCTGTATCAGGGAAGGAGGAGGATACATCTCAGCCCCAAGAGAAGAAATTGTTCTCTTTTTATTCACTGGAGTGCTCCTGTTTATTTTTGTAGTACAAATCTGTTAGAGCAGTCAGGTCTACACAGCAGTTGGGGAGGGTGCTTCCCAGCACTGATAAGCAGACAAGCACGGGCAGGATTGTACTCAGGCAGCTAGCCCATGCCACCAAAGTGACACTACTATTTTTAGCATGTTAGTTGAGGCAGAGCTAGTGCATGTCTGTCTACCTGCACCGGGAAGCACCCTCCCAGCTGCTGTGTCGACATAGCCTTACTTGTAGTTACTGCATCAGCATATCCCACTAATATAAGTAGCACTATGAATTTAGATGTACAAAATCGATTCATGTTTAACCTTTATATAAGAACGCGCAATAAGAACTATCGTGGGAATAGCTTGTGTCCTGTAACCAGATTTTGTGTTATACACTATTAGCCCTCACAAGCAACACGTGTAGTACTTAAATATGATTAACAGACATAAGAGATACAACCTGACTGCATTGATTAGATACATAGACTCCCAACTGAAATTAGATAAAAAATCTGAGCGGTTACTAGTCCCTTCCCAGACCAGTTCTTATCCAGCATTATATTTGAGGACTTTTGAAGAATAAATTCATGAAAGTGCTAAAGAACAGGAACTTAAGTGCCCCTGAGCGCAGCGAGTACAGCGCTGTAAAGCGCCAGTGTAATCAGAGCCTGCAGCGCTGCAAGCTATTCCCCTCAGAGAGGTGGAGTGCATACAGCTATTCCCCTCAGAGAGGTGGAGTACATACATACCTGAATGAACCTTCCCCTGCGAGAGCTCTCTCGCAGCGCTGGCGGCGCGACTACACTCGTGCTTCACAGCGCTGCCGCGGCAGCACTGTGAAGTCCCGAGTGTAGCCAAGGCCTTAGTCTGACTTTTTAGGACCCGCCAGTCTTATGGCGGTCTCCATTATATCTAAAGTTTGCTTCTCTGAAACAGAGAGAGCTCTCGCAGCGCTGGCGGCGCAACTACACTTGCGCTTCACAGCGCTGCCGCTGTTCCCTAACTAAACTGAACTCTCCAAGTGCTGGGTGGATACCAGTGCTCAGACACAGCTGTTCCCTGTTTGCAGAGAATGGAACCCTCACAAAAACCTGGATGTATGAATTCAGAACTGGCAGGACAACAGCACAATCATATTTGCCACAAAAGCTGCCTTTGTAGCCTCCCCCATTTGAATCCCATGTACTCACTTCTGCATTAACCAACTGAAGTATGGCCTGAGAACAGGACTCCTAAAATCTAATCGTGGCTCTGAGACACCCTCAGTGGCTTCAGCCAAGTCACAGCTTCTCTGTCTCAGTCCTTTCGCAGGCCACACCATTGGTACAACGGGAATAATATTTACTTTCTTCATAGAGGTGTTGTGAGAACATGTGTAGCACTTTAAAGACACAAAACACTGTGAAAGTCCTATGTATTAGTCACAGCAGGACTATAGTCACACTGAGGGAGTGAGGAGATTATTTCAAAGAGAAAATGTTAGTAATCTGTTTTCTCGTGAACCACACACACCTAAAACTAAGAATGTGGTATCTCAAAACCCACGAATGGCCTGTGAACTTAAGACATGCACACATACAAACATGTTTGTATCAGAGGGACTGCAAAAAAAACCAGCTTTGATTTACCAAATATGAGGGCAATCCACCTCTGTTGTAGCTGCTTTTCCATACATACCTGAATGAACCTTCCCTCCTCTCCCTTCAGTGACAATGGACAGATTTTCTCTTTCATGCTGGTTTCCCTTAAAGCTCATTTGAAGAGCCCACCATACCTTGTTAAACTGGAAAAGGTCACGCTTGAGCCTCTCTCTTACGGGATCATGTCCGTGTCTCAAAAACCTTCTCATTTTCCCTCTTTAACCACCTGGCACCAGAAACCTAGTAAAAAAGCAAAACCATGTTTAAACAAGTGGGATTTTAGAGTGTAAAAAATTAATCTGAATTGGGTCCTTTATTTTGTTTCAGCAAGTAACACGGAATTCAGCAGGCCAGGACGAGACAGCACAGCTATATGGGGAGTTAACAGGGACTAAAACTCAACACCACTGCAGCACATTTTCCCAGATAGTAGGATTTGGTTTGCATAATCCCTTTTTCATGCTGCTCAATTCTAGAATCCCTGTGGCTTTTAAAAAACAAACAATGCAGTTTACACTTTGCCATTTTTTTTTTAATCTCTTCACCTGACCTTGTCCAAGAAAGATGACAAGTGACAGAACGCAAAAGGATACTACCACAGTCAGATAAATGTTTAAAGAAACCAGCTCAAAAAGCCACCTAACTTCCAGAGTTGGTGGCAGCATAGACTAGTATCAGTTTTTACCCCAGATAACCCTATGGCTACTGAGCGGAGGAGGGGAAAGTAAACATTTTAGGCTGGCATTATGGGTATAGCATAAGGAGCTGGTGTTGCCTGGAATGTAGTTATGTTAATTATTAGCCTGTTTTTGTAAAACATCAAGCTTAATCCTCTACTAAGGGGGAAGGGGGAAAGAGAATAGTGCACCTGTCCCTCAGTGCAGTGCTACAAGAGAGTATAGTTCTCTGTACCTTGTAATTCTACCACTTCACCAAAACTTTATGATCCACTCAGAGCACTCAATGCAGAAATAAAAAGCCCTGCCCTAGCATACCAGCAACAACACTTGGGACAGCAGGATATGGAGTCTAGTATTCAGCCAGTGCAGCAAAAGTAGCACCTTATGTCACTCCCCAGGACAGAAAGGAGTACGGCGAATGGGCAGAACTTGAAGATTCAGACCTAGGGTGTGGACTTTTCCCAAGGAAGGGGTGTGTACATATGTGGAGCAAGGTGGGAATTTATAGTGCGATAGTTTCCAGAATGTTTAAAATGAGTGTCAGAACTTGCCAGGAAGAAGAGTTATTTTTTATCTCTCTGCCCCAGACTACCTGGGGCCTGGGACATTTGACTCAAATATCTGGCCTGGACAGGTAATTGAAAGCACTGTCCACCCACAATGAGCTCTGAGAAGGAGCAGAAAACCTTTGCAGCCTCTTGGTGCTTCTATTATCCCACTTCTATACAAACAAGTGGGAATCCATCTCTGCATTCTTGTCAATAATGAGGTCATCAACCAAAGGCCATAAATCAGTCAATCATTCCTGCAGGGTTTTTATTTATAGCTCCCAGCAAGGCCAGCAGAAGTGTAAATTTAAACAGCAAACTAAAAGTACAAAACTGACAAAATCAGCAAGTTCTGGTGAGCGAACAGCTCTGTCTTTTCTGCATGTCAGATATCAAGGTGTAATCCCAATGTACAGTCCTGGGTTTGCGCCTACACTTGCCACTAGGGGCTAGGATACTTCAGTGTTACTAGCATGTGGAAGGTCGGTTTGGGTGGAGCACCATTTGGACTGGTTAAGGAAGGAGGGAGCAAAGGGATGGATCAGGCAGATGTATCAGTAAGATTCTGACAGGAGCTTAGAGCAGGCTGAGATAGTCCATGAATAACTCAGAGCATCATTACTATTACAGCAATATCTGGTCTGGTTTTCAGAGATGCCAAGCACTGCACCTCCTTTCTACTGACTTCAGTGGAGTTATGAGTGCTCAGCACTTCTGAAAGTCAGGCTTATAGCAATTAGCCCCAGAACAATCCCAGAGCTTAGCCTGCAACATCTCTAACCAAGCACACAGTACATTTTCAGGTGCACAAACAAAAAGAAAGGAACCCACCATGATCTCCTCGCTCCCCCAGTACCTAGAGATACCAGCAGGTACCACCTAATCATCAGCTTTCCTTGAATGGTCTCTTACAATATGAGCTAACTACTTATGCAAAACAATCTGTTCCACCTTGCATTTTGCTGTGACACTGGGAGCACCTTTCTCAGACCTGAAGAAGAGCTCTGTGTGGCTCGAAAGCTTGTCTCTCACCCCAACAGGAAGTCGAGCCAATAAAAGATATTACCTCACACATCTTATCTCTAACATCCTGTGACCAACACAGCTACAACTACACAGCATACAGCTTTCCAACTGTCATTCCTGCATGCTTTCTTCCCTATCCATTCCCCACTGACAGAGAAGGGAGAGTAAACCTGAGCTGCTTGGTATATTTGCATGATTTGGGTGGAAACGAAAGCCATCAGAGCACTAGCAGGTGTGAAGAAATGGTGCCTAGCTGTCTGACACAGAAACCTTGACAGCAGGGAATATCAAAATAAAAGGGGAGAGGAGCGTAGCCAAAAAACAGGAACACATTTAAAAAACAAAGTCTCTGCAAGGTGATCTGAAAACCTACACCAAATAAATCTAAGATTAGAGCCCATGTAACAAATCCTTTCATCAGGTTTGCATGATACAATTCTCAGAGAAGAGTCAAACATCTCAGTACATGGCTCTCACCATGGATCAGCGTTCACCTTGCACTCCTTTTCAGTACCCAAGACAGAGAAGCTAATGATCCAAACATCGGACCAAATTCGGTGATGAATCCTGGTCACATGCCACCTGAGGCACATTGAAGAAGTGAGAAGCTGCTGTAGAAGTGACAACCTGTTGTGCTATGCAAGGAAAGAGTATCACACCCATATGCAGTAACTTTGGCCTTAGCCTGACAGGGAAAGTAAAAATGGGAAAGGGTGTGTCTTTGGCAATCAATATCCTGGGCCTGTGAAACCAGGAAAACCCACACAGAAACTTCAAGTAACTAGTTCAAAGTAACTGGTTTTACAAGTATGGGGAAAGGAGACTTCCATGTGCCAACAAGGCAGCACAGACAAATACTCACAGTAAACAAAGGCAAGAAGGCAAAGGAAAGAGGGGGCTCTTTTGAAAAGATAGATAAATACAGCTGCCCAGGTCCTGTAACAAAGTTTAGGAATGATTAATTGCATCTAACACATGCTGCTTATACATGCTTATGCCAAGAGAGGTAACATTCACAATCCAGCCCACACTGACCTGTTAAACCAACTAAGGAAACTTAATAATAGTTGGCCTCAAGGAATCTAATAGCAACTGGCACCAAGGTACATCACCATGTAAACTGATGCATGCTGCAGTCAAAGGAGATTTGCCAAAAAGAATGACGATTCCACATAATCTGTATCATCTTGTCTCACAGGTGCACATTTCCTTTTTGCCAGCCCAATTTCTCTCGCAAATGCCCTTCTCTGATGTCTTACAAAAAACTGCAGCCCCATGTGCTCTGCAATTATAGAACATAGACACAAATACCCTTCACTGCAGACAGCATGAGGCAGTAGCAGTGGCCACTAGTAGCCAGGGTGGAGCCTCTGAAGCCATGTCTGCTTTGTGTGGAGTTGATGCTGTTGTATTTTGCAGGGCATTAAAGCCTACAAGAAAATGCAAGCTCAGCCTCTTACCAGAAGCTACGTGCTCATTAGCAGCACTACATCTTCTCTGGCTAAAGTCTGCCTCTCAGCTGAAGAGAATCTGAGGTCAGTCCATCTGCAGGTAACAATACCCCAGATTCCAGTCCATCTTGACTGGGAACAAGTTGAAACATAACATGTGACAGACAAACCACCTTGCAGCCAGGCTCATAATGGGCCACTTAAAGCTAGCTCCTTTAGCGTCCCTGGCTCTATGCTCAGACAAATATTATGAGATGCCCTCCTCCGCTGCGTTCAATTAGACTCAGCCACAAGCCTATTACTCTTCATTGCTCACACAGTATGGCAGGGCGAGTCCAAGCTGTGAGAGGATCCTGTTTCCACTCAATACAGACACTCAGACAGCTATTAGCATCAAACACAGACTTTTAGATGCCAAAAATTCACAACAGGCACATATGCCACATGGTTCAAAACAGGCTGATACTTAAGCGAAGAAGCCAGAATGTTCATATGCAACTTACATGCGTGTTTACTCAGAGCACACAGGATGGGGTGTAGAACAGGGGAGAGAGAGTACTCTTCCCAAACAGCCTTTGTCCAGGTTAAGTCGCCCTTCCAACTTCTCCCCTTGACAACAGTTCAAAGCTTGGTAAATAATTCAAAGATGCTCTAGGGCATATCAAGACTATTTAGCGATTTCAAGGCTTCGGGTCTCCTGCTTGTTGTTCTCTCCCTTCTCTTACCCTTCCCCAAAAGGGATCCTCCCATGTGAGATTTCTATCTATGCATCTAACAGTAAGGCATTGTTCTTGTTAAAAAGGATAAGCAACAGCAAGCCCTTCTTCTCCCCAGCCAAGCTTTGTTTACACCACAAGGATTTACTACTCTTATTGCAGCAACTGCCAACAAGGCCTCATCTGTACTAGACTTTCTCTACAGTACGGAAAGTTTCCCAGTATTCCTAGGACCAATACAGCGCTGCCAGTGGTCGCAATAGTGGGAATGCTACAGTAGACTTTCTCTCAGCAAGGTTAGATGACAACAGCCAGTCTACACTAGCAGTTCTGCTATTGTTCACAATTGTGGTAGAAGTGCTGGGATGTTCAGGAAGAAAGGCTAATGCAAACATGCCCCACCTATGCCACTACATGAACAGGAACAACGGTGTAAGAGTTAGGGTAGATATGCCTGAGACCAGGTTTTCATGATCACCACTGTAATAAAGGTGCTGATTTCTTCTACAAGTTCCAGCATCTAATGACAGTTCTATGCATCTCAAAATTCCAGAGAATCAGATGGTGTGTGTAGCCCCCTTTAAAAAAGAGTTTAAACCTGGTTGAATGACTCCTGAGATAGACTAGTGGGTGGTTTATTGGGAGGGGAATTTCAAAGAGAAGATAGACCATTATAGGTAATATTCTCCTAGAGAGAGAGAGAGCGCGAGCATGCCCAGAAGAAAAGAGAACCAAACTGCAAGTTAGGAGGTGTAAATTCTATTCCCAATTCTGCCATTGACTTGATGTGACCTTGGGCAAGTCACTTCACCTTTCTGT